GCCTGCCAGCAGGCACCTCCTGCTCCCCCCCGGGTTCCCCACAGCCCCTGCACTTACTGAGCTTCTTCAGGGCGTCCACCGTCACCTCGGGGTCCCCGCAGACCTTCTTCTCCAGCTCCTGCCAGGTGAGGAGGTCGAGGACGGCTTGGGGCACCACCCTGAGCAGCCCAGCCTGCATCGCGGCGATCTGGAGGGAGGCAGAGCAGCCGGGGGAGGGGTTAGAGCCCCACGGCCGCGCACTGGATCCCCCCCGAGGGCTCCTCAGGCACAGGAGCTCCGCAGGGCTCCACGCAGGGCTGGCCATTAGCACATGAGCGCTCCCTGGCATGCACGTTAACAGACACAACACCCACGCTTCAGGGCACAAGTCACCTCTTGGCGGCAGGGACAGGAAGGGACGTGCCCTGGGGCGGGGTCCCACAGAGCCCCAGGAAGGCAGCGCCCCAGCTGGCGTTACCTGCTCCTTGCTCTCCTCCAGCCGGGCCTTCTGCACCAGGCGGATGAATTCCTGGCGGTCCTCGTAGCGCACCACGGTGCTGCCGCCGTTGGGGATCAGCTCCACCATGCGCTGGTCGCTGAGCACCGTGGTGTAGGTCAGCTCCTTCCCGAACTTGAACTCAAAGGTCTCCTGGTCCATCACCTCCATCACCTCCAGGAGCTTCACCTGCGCGGCCGGGCGAGAGCACGCGCTGCAGAGCGACACCCCCGGCTGCCGGGCGAGGCCCAGCCCTCACCCTGCCCCGGACAGCGTCAGGGCTAGGCCGGGGGCGGAGCAGGGCCCAGCATCCCGCAGCAACGCGGAGCCTGGTGTGCTGGGACAGGCCTCCTCCGAGGGCTGCACCATCCCCTGGCAGGCTGGGACCCCCAGTGCCCTTTGCCCAGGACAGAGCACGGCATGCTGGGACCCGCAGTGTCCTTGGCCCGCACCGCCCCTTGGGCCAAGCCAGAGCACGGCATGCTGGGACTTGTAGTCTCCCAGGGCTGTCTCAGCACTGACATGAGGGCACCGACGTGGGGCGGCTCAGAGCCGGTTTCTGGGGTCCCGGGGCAGCCCCACACAACTGGCCCAGCCACTGCGTGCTGCCCACGGAGGGTGGGCGCCATCCTGGCAGGCCCGGCCCACGCGCCCGCCCAGCCCCACTCACCAGGACGGAGTCCACGGCGGGGGAGTCCTTGCCCCAGC